GTTGCTCTTGGGTTTCCACGGCAAGCTGCGCCGGCTGCAGCTCCAGGAGCCCGAGTACGTGCTCATGGCTGCCGTGGCCCTCTTCTCTCCGGGTGAGCATCTCCCAAACCCACTCAACTATCCACCATCCACCCACTCAGCTATCCATTAATCTACCCATCTACCCACTTAATTCATCCACCCATCCATCCACCCACCCACCCAACCCAACTACCCATCCACTCACCTACCCACCCACCCAACTATCTATCCTTCTTCCCTCCTTTCTTTCCTTATTTCTTTCCTTCCTTCCTTCCTTCTTTCCTTCCTTCCATTCAACTGTTCATCACCCATCCTCCCAACTATCCATCCACCCACCCACCCAACTATCTATCCTTCCTCTCTCCTTTCTTTCCTTCCTTCCTTCTTCCTTCCTTCCTTCTTTCCTTCCTTTCTTCCATCCACTCATGTGTTCATTCACCATCCTCCCAACTATCCATCCATCCATCCACCCACCCATCCACCCAACTATTCATCCATCTACCCACCCAACTATCCATATACCCACCCACCTACCTATCCACCTGTCCACCTAACCAACTAGCCACCCATCATCAACCCACCTACCTGCTCAACTATCCATCTGCCTGCCCACCCATCTATCCATCCAACCACCCACTCATCCATCCATTCATCCTTTCATTCATTCAACATCTAACTGTACACCCATTGACCTGTCCACTCGCCTATTTACATGCATACATCCTTCCAAGTAAATGTCTACCACTAATTTCCTATCTATCCTCATCCATTATTCAACCAGCATCCACCGTCCATGCCTTTAACCATGCCCGATTCATCCATTCATCTATCCATCCCTCATCCATCCCCCATTCACCATCACCATCCAATCCCCCATCCATCCACCCCCATTCATCTGTCCATCAAATCCACTCATCCCCCACTCACCATCAATCCCCCATCCATCTGTCTACTCATCGATTCACCCTCCATTCCCTCTCCTCCATAATCCAGCCATTACATCACCCCATTCAAACACCAATCTCAGGACCAGCAGGTGGTGTGGTGACTAAGGTGCTGGACTCCCACATGGCTGACCACAGTTTGAGTCCCAGACCTGGCAGCTTGATTTCTCACTTTCCCTTTTTCTCTCTCACTGATTAAATTGAAATAATAATAATCAATGAAATGAAATAAACAGTTAAAAAAAGCCAACCTCATGAACAGTTACTATGTATAGATTCTTGCTAGATACACTTCTATTATTTTATAGGTCTTAAGGTTATTTGGGAGATGAGGAAATTGAGGTTAACTTGCTACTAAGGATAATAGAAATGGCCACCCCAAAAACTAACACTAGTGGCCAGCCAGGTGGTGTGGTGGTTAAGGCAGCTGGATCCCACATGGTCACCAATGTGGTTCAAGTCCCGGACCTGGCAACTTGAAAAACACACCAGGCACGTTTATGTGTGTGTCCCAAATCCTGAGATGAGAATGGAGGATGATGGATTGTGGTGTGACCATCCCACCGGGGTGTGTGTGTGGTGATTTATCACTTTCTCTTTGTTTCATCTGTCTCTCTCCAGTGAATGGACACGACCTAAAGCAAAAATCTCTTAAGAAAAAAAAATTATTTATTGGCACCAGCAGGTGGCGTGGTGGTTAAGGCATTGAACTCCCACAGGACAGACCACGGTTTGAGTCCCAGACCTGGTGGCTTACTTTGTCACTATCTCTCTCTCTCTGACTGTCTCTAGTCAAATTAAAAAATATATAATAATAGGGGAATAGCAGGAGGCATGGTGGTTAAGGCACTGGATACTTCCACATGGCTGACCATGGTTC